CGGCCAATCAGAAAAGAGATAGAGTCAAACCTGTATATAACGGCCCTGTGTATAACGGTCAGTGAATAACTTCCCAAAAATCGTCACTTATATTTACTGCTAAATTAACCTGCATATAGCGGTCACCTGTACATAACGGACGCGGTCATAAAATTATTATTAACTGTCAGAAAAAATAGTTGTCTTGGATGCTACAAGGAACTCAGACATGGTGTTTTGAGTTGTTTTGGCCACGTACCAAATCTCCTTTAAATGGAAGGAACCTGAAAATAATAGTTTACTAAGATAGAAAAACTTCAAAGAGATAATAATAATAAACCATAGAGGAACAAGGATGGTCAAGGATGGCAAAGATTGACACGGATTGCAAACGACCAATTTGAATAATTTAGGCTAAACTTTCAAGATGTGCAAACCGTGATTGAGCTCCTTTAACTAGATCAGGTGGCGACAGAAGAATTTTTGAAAAAAGCGACAATCGCACGCGGAATGGCAGGTAATTGTCAAGGGGTTACAGCCACAATCCCTGATATCCGTAATCCCTTCAAGAAACATTGGAGCATACCATTAGGAGAGTGGCATGGCAGGAGGAGACACACCTAACTTGCGCACTGCAGTAATGCTCCATTCCAATGTTAAGTAGAAGTGTTGTCATGTCTGTCATGGCATTTAGGAATGTACACACAACAACACATTACGGCAAAGGGCGCCTTACTTTTTCATTACGATCCAGATTTAGAGGATTCAGAAAACAAACTTGCAAGCCTCATAAATTTTATAAGTCTAAAGGTGATGCATGTTCTTTTGTACATGTTTTCTATTAACTTGGCATATTCGCAGCATGCCGACCACCGAGGAAACGCCTATCATCTCTTTAGTAGCACTAAACCATGTGCTTGGCTACGAGTTTTATTACGCCCGAGTGTCTACCCAAACATATCCCGCAATTTTGTTCACTTAGTTGTCGGTTCACTAGAATCTGGAGAGGAAGTGGCAACCGTATGCTCTTGGCATCTTTTTTCCCAAGAAGGAAATAGAGTTCTTGCCTACACTTTACACAGGGGAGCTTTTTCGCTTTTGAAATCCTGCAGAACTAGTGACATTCAGTGATGTTACCGACAGTGGTAGAACCGTTATGGTATAAAGGCAAAGCTCTAGTTTACTGCAGAGGTCTTACAACAGAGGCAGACCGGAGAAGCAATATTGGCTTATGATCCTTGGTATCACTGCATAGCTCTCTTGCATTCGGCCACTCGGACTCAGTGAAGACGATTTTGACTTAACTTAAAATATTTGTTTACCCACTTACATGTATTTGTAAGCATGTAACAATAAATATCGTTATTGTTGTTACCCTTCAGGTCCAGATTCTTGCTGGCTGCGGCTTCTTTCGAATTTCAGCTTCGAAGCAAGTTCCTGTTTTAGTGTTACGCTTTTCCTTAGATTATGTAAACCATTTCCATATAAAACACATTTTATCGAACAGTTTTTTTTTGTTTTTTTGGAGTAACAACCTCCGCCATTTCTCCCCGCGCTACTCGCATGGTAATTTGCATAAAAAGCGGATGTGACGTCAGGGACAAGTGACACGTAATAAACAAAAACGGCTGGAAATCGAACGTATATATATGAATCCGATGGCAAACAATTTTTTGATAAAAAAATATTGAATTTAGCACAACTTATGAATCGCAGCTTTACCATACTAGGTAGCAGAATGTATTCACCAAATTTGAAGGACGTAGCTGCGGCTAGAAGACGCTCAGTTAATTTTTAATTTTCCATACATTTGTCTAAGAAAAAATTTCCCGCGAAGCGCGTCTACCCAGCCAAATTTACAGACAAATGTATAGAAAATCACAAAAATAAAATGAGCGTCTTCTAGCCAAGCTAAATCCTTCAAACTTGGTGAATACAATCTTCTGCCTACATATTACTTTAACGTTGCGATTCACAAATTGTATAAAATTCCATTTTTGAAAGAAGTTATTTGCCATCGGTTTCCCATGCAAACACTGTATTTTCCTACCCGTCAAGATGGCATCGAAAACCGTAATTAGGCCTATTTGTTTGATGCCATTATTTTAATATCAACTGATATCAAAAGAGAGTGGTTGTATGGGAACCAATCAAAAAGTCGCTGAAAAATACTAAAAACTGTCGTGACCCAACTTATGTTATATTAGTGTATTAAATGTACTAAACCTTCCATTTTAAATACCCGACACGCAAAGTCTATAATATGGGAACCTTTTTTTTTAAAGCAACGCCTAAAAAACTAACTTCAATAAACATTCTGAATAAAAAGAAAAACTGGAACTGACACGACTTCGATGTGTTTGTTACTAAAATTAGTATATCGATGAACTGAATGGCTCTCGCCGTCACTTCATCAGTTCCTTCTCACTGTACAATAATGTATCCCATGGCTCTGATGTGTCTGATGCCATTATCTGGTGAGCGCGTTGCTTCATTACCACAGGTGTTGGAGTTATCGTATTTCCCTCCTGTACCAAACCCGATTCTGGAATCAGAGGATAGGCAGTCATTTTGTTGGTTACTAATGATGCCGATTCTTGCTTTCGAATTGTATTCAGAAGAACCTACAGCATTGAACCCTTCCTTGTTACAGTTGAACTGCAATGAGGCCTGAGGACCAATCAGCTTCTTCCAGGTGTTACGGCCCACTGTAGTGGCGCGGTACTGCCCGTCAGCGATAAGTGAATACAGAGAGGTGGCCTCCCTGGTAATGACAATGAAGTTTATCTGTTGGCCGATCTTCATAACAAGACAGATCTTGGAAAAGGATGTGTTCCAGTAGGTAGGTAGCTTGGTCTCTTGTTTGTCAAACCCCGTCTCCCCTCCATGAAGGTTGAATTCATTTTTATCGCTCCAGTACACCGAGCTATAATGAAAAGTGTTCTAGGAAAGAAAGTAAAAAATTCAATCTAACCCTCAGAGTTATCCATCACTGAAATATTAGACCTTTCTGGTTTCCGGTTTTTCCTGTTCTTCAATATGTATTATTACCTAACATTATTATAATGGTCAAAAACTTGTCACAATGTGAATATATCATACTGTCCTGCTATCTGTGATCCTTAGATAATAGTTCTTTTATGATCTACGTTGTCAAAAATTATTTGGAATTGTACTCAAGAAGACTCGTCCGAGTTCCTGTGGCAAAATGCTGCACAACCAAAGTTCATCAAGCGGTGAAAATATTATTCGCCCACGGTCTGTTGAAAAATAATGCAGTTGTAAACAGCCCCTCAAACGAAAAAAGTCTGCATACGAGCCAAGTGGTCCATCATAGCCTGTGTACAGCCGCCCCTCCCCTCCAAACAAAATCCCGATTTTTTTTTGGAGGGGAGCGGCGGCTGTACACAAGCTAGCCCATCAGGCCGGCGCTTATCTCCGATTTCTGTAGCATGAAGCGACTAGGAGTATTTCTACTCCCCCCTGGATGGGATGCTAGTCCATCGCAGGGTTACCCCCAGCATTAAGTTCGCCGGTAATTCCTCAAATATCGAAAGTAAAATATAGGTTAATTGACGTCTTCTTCTGCCATTTAATTTGTTGCTGAACAATGTCTGAAATCGGTTACGTGACTTCAACTTATTATATATGTACTGCATTTGCACTTCTCCAGGTTCTTTGCCTAGCGTTCCATTCATTTTATAACATTGAGTGTCTCTTTCCTTCCGAAGAACTTTTAACACTTTTTAAATCTTTTAACTTTTTTAGTCCATATGGGGAAATGCTTTATTGATTCTACAAACATAAAATTTTGATGTAATAAACAATTTTCTGTTCAAAAACTATCCGAGTAGAAAGGGTTGCGTGAAAAATCAAACCTTGTGTTGACATTGGCAAAATTAGGTACAGAAACGTCTGCTAAGTCTTCTCAAGAATAACAAATTCATTTCATTCCAGCTAAAATATCCATAGGTTTACAAATAATGATTCTCGGCGAGTATGAGTAGAGAGGTGATTTATGTGATACCTTGTTTCCGTCAATCTTCATGACCGGTGTCCACCCTCCATCTCCACATCCAAAATTTCCCATGTGACAGAAAACAGAAATTGGTTTTGAGTCAATGTAGAGCGTAACCAGCTGACTCACGTTGGGCCTGTTGGATGCAAATAATAACAAAAGGCACTGAATGGAAAAAAAATGAGATTGAGTTGAAAAAATATTGAAGAGTTATATTCTGCGTTCTTGTTAATATTTTATTTAATGCTTAACAAGATAGTTTGCATCGTTTCTATAAAGAACTGCAGCTGGTTTATCAAATATGACGGCGAAAATAAAAATTCTAAATTTAACAAATCGAATGTGGCGTAGCGTTGTCTGTTCTCTTATCCACAACGTTATGCGTCATCACAGTGGTCGAAATGTTGTGGACTCACTCGGCTGCGCCCCGTGAGTCCACAACATTTTGACCACTGTGATGACGCATATCGTTGTCGATAAGAGACAACGCTAAACCACATTTGATTTGTTTTTTACCACAATATCAACGTCAAAGAAAATGTTCTTTTTTCCAGAGCGTGACCAAGAGCGTGACATATTGACGTCAGCAGCGTTGTCTGGACTCTTATCGACAACGACAAATTAGCCAATCAGTTTGCGAGATTAGTAGCAATTGAGGTAAAATACGTATATTATTGATCGAAAAATTGCTTCCCCCTAGTTTTGTATGAACTCCAATTAGTCGGCCCTCTTTCGTGAAATCTGGTCTGGTTTTAAAGGCTGTTTTAAAAAGTTTATCTAAAAACCCAACTCCAGTTATGGACAGTCAAAAATTAAATTTGAAAACGCAGTGCTTTCCAATCAATTTCAATTTCAATCGTTATCATATAACTGAGATTGACTGAGAGAAGGCCAATTTATCGTTAATTTTTAATTTGATCCCCATGCAGTGCAAATTAAAGCAAGTGTTCGAAATGGTCTCAGTCGCATAAAGCACGAGCAATTTAGGATCTTCTTTCAAATTGCACTCGCCTTAAGGCTTGTACGTTTTGAGAGAATCTTAAATTATCAATCGTGGTGTACATTCTTAATTGTACACGTATTCATACAATTACCTATACTTTAAATACCACGGACTTTTAACAAATCGGTAATGATAAACTTCTTCTGATATCTTTCCACTGAAACAGCTGTTGCATAAATGGAAAACTAACTGTGCAAGTGTGAATTTTCAGCGCAAAGGTATCGGAAAAGGTCCATGGAATTGAAAATTAAATGTCTAATCAACAGAACCTTTTCAGTACTGGTTTGTTAGTACAGTAGCTTACTTGTAACTTACTTGTATACGTCGTACAGTTCCTTGCAGGACGCCAGAACTGAGAAAAGAAAAAGTATGATGTAAAATAACTCGAAAAAGCTGTGGAAAGAAATTCATATTTCTGATGCGAGTGCAGTCCCATCGGAAGACCAGGAAAGAGTAATTTTCTCCCCTTCACAGCATTTCTCGTTCTCCCAGACTTTCACTCGTGTTTCTATTTTTAAAAAAAAATTGGATTATGAGCTAGAGATTTCTATCGCGTGATAGTTGACGAGGGCGTTCGATGGCGTTGCCCTCGTCAACTATCACGCATAGAAATCGAGAGCGAATAATTTGATTGGTTTAGGATAAATCTATTAGTCGTTGAAAACTTTATCCAAATTCTCTTCAAAGAGACCTCGAAAACGCAAAGAAGTGGCCGAAATTTGGTTAACAAACACAAACTTCGAATTCCACACTACTCACTCTCTACAACAGAATAACTAGTGAGTAGCGTAGCTAATTAGAGAACGGCATTAGTGATAGAGCGCTAGTAGATTTAAACTAAAACTTAATAGAAACACGAAGCATGGTTTTTATTTCTTAATTAATAACGACTGACACCACGATCTCTGAAAAAAAGTTCAGCTGACATGCGCAGACCAAATGGAAACAATTCTCAGCGATCATAACGATCACTGGGATGAAAACTTGACCAAAATGCAGTGGTGATGTTTGATCCAGGTCCTCTCGGGCATTTTTTGCGGTTACTGGCTTTAGCCAGTCACCAATATGTCATCGGGTGCGTACGCAAGCAAGGAAGCAAGCAAGCAAGCAAGCAAGCAAGCAGGTAAACAGGCATGCAGGCAGGCAGGTAGGCAGGCAGGCAGGCAGGCAGGCAGGCAAGCAA